ATCCCTTCGCGTTCAAGGAACCATCTGTAAAGAGGGTTCAGATTCCGGAGGAGGTCCCCGAGTTCAATAACAACTCCTTCTCGACCTCAGCAATTAGAGCTGGCGTGAAGTCGGCCATAAAGTCTGCCAAAATTTGAGATTTGATGGCGGTTCGGGGTCGATATTCGATATCGTACCCGCTGATTTCCATGGACCATTTGGCCACGTCTCAAGAGTTCAGGCTTATGCATTATGTTTCTCAACGGGTAAGTAGTCACGACACATATAGGATGGCATTGAAAATATGGTTTTAACTTCCTAGAGCCGCTTAGCAAAGCGAGCGCCAACTTTTTCCAGGGCTCGCCTAGAGTCCTGCTAACATAGTAGATAGGAAATTGCGTACCTTCCTTTTCCCGTATTAGGACTCCACTTACTACTATCTCGGATACCGTCAGGTACAGGTATAAGTGTTCATCTGCCTTCGGATTATGGAGCAAAGGCGAGCTCTAAAGGTACCACTTGAGTTTTTCCAAGGCTTGTTGACACTCCGTGGTCCACGAGAAATTATTCCTCTTCTTCAATAACGAGAAGAACCGATGGCTCTTGTCAGAGTACCTTGAAATGAATCGGCCTAACGCGGCTATGCGCTCGGTTAACTCTGAACAACCTTGACATTTTTCACCATGACAATGTCCTCTATGGCCTTGATTTTATCGGGGTTGATCTCGATTCTCCGGTTAGACACCATGAACCCGAGAAATTTCCCAGACCCGACTCCGAATGCGCCTTTCTCCGGGTTCAGCTTTATATTGTATTCCTTCAGTATGTTGAAGGTTTCCTAGAAATGTTTCAAATGGTCCTCTGCCCGCAGGGACTTAAGTAACATATCGTCAATATAAACCTCCATTAATTTTCCTATTTGTTCTTCGAACATTCGATTTACTAGGCGTTGGTAAGTAGCACCAATATTTTTTTAGTCTGAATGGCATTACGTTAAAGCAGTAGGTGACGTACTTAATGATGAAGGACGTTTTTTCCTGGTTGCCCGTGTCCATCCGAATTTGGTTGCACCCGGAGTAGGCATCGAGAAAGCTGAGGATCTCGTGGCCGGCCGTCGCATCAATCATACAATCGATGTTTGGCAGATGGAACGAGTACTTGGGGCATGCCTTATTCAAGTCTTTGTAATTTACACACATTCTTAATTTATTCCCCTTTTTAGGGGCTACTACTACGTTTGCTAACCAATCCGGGTTCTTAACCTCTCGGATGGACCCTATTTTAAGGAGTTTAGATACTTCGTCTTTGATGAATGCATGCTTGACTTTGGACTGGGGCCTACTTTTCTGTTAGACCGGGTGGAACTTCGGGTCCAGGCTCAACTTATGAGCAGTTATCTCCGGCGGAATCCCTGTCATGTCGAGGTGGGACCAAGCGAAACAATATATGTTAGCTATAAGGAATTTAATGAGTTTTTTTACTGAGCTTGGGACTTAACCCCATGCCCAGGTATACCTTACGATCGAGCAGATGCTCTATCAATATGACTAGCTCCAGTTCTTAGACCGTTGATTTGGTGGCGTTAGAATCATCGGGGGCTATGAAAGACCTGGGAACTCCGTAGTCGTCGTCCTCACCTGTCCCCTGCTTCTCCGGTTGGGGCAGGGCCGGTGTCGGTAATTGCTATTTGGTTTCTCCTTTGGTGACTAAACCCAGATCCTTTGGTGTTGGAAGTGCGGATATCGGGACCACCTCGTCAACCGCGAATATCTCCTTTGCTGTCGGTTGTTCTCCCTAAATTGTTTTAATCCCTCCTGGAGTTGGGAATTTCAATACATGGTGAAACGTCGAGGGTGCTGCCCTCATGTTGTGAATCCATGGCCTCCCGAACAGAGCATTGTACCTCATACCTCGTTCGATCACGTAGAACTTTGTTTCCTGAATGGTTCTGGCGGTGAACGCCGGTAATGTTATCTCTCCTTTAGTGGTCTTGCATGCCATGTTGAATTCGTTTAGAGCTCGGACTGCAGGCACGATTTGATCTTGTAGACCTAGTTGTTCAACGACCCTCGATCTGATGATATTGGCCGAGCTACCTGGATCAATTAACACACGCTTAACTCAAGATTTATTTATGAGCACATATATTACCAGTGCATCATTGTGGGGATACACAACGCCTTCAGCATCCTCGTCATTGAAAGACAAGGATCCTTTTGGCACGTAATCTCGAGTCTATTTTTCCCTTGTGATGGATACTTTGGTGCATTTTAACATCGGTCCTTGGGGGACGTCACTGATGATCATGTTGATGAGGTGCTGAGGTTCCTCCTACTCAATCTGCTTACTAGAGTCCCTATTCCTGAAATGGTTTTTGGCTCAATCGCTTAGAAATTCTTGGAGATGTCCATTGTTGAATAACCGGGCTACTTCCTCTCTCAATTGTCGGCAGTCTTCCGTCCTGTGACCATGAGTGCCATGGTATTTACACATTAGGTTGGGGTCCTTTTGGGCTGGATCAGACTGTAGAGGTCGAGTCCACTTGGTGTCTTTGATGCGTTCGATGGCAGATACGATGACAGCAATATCGACGTTAAAGTTGTACTCCGATAACCTTGGCGCTTCCTTAGGCCCGACGGGCCTGTCGAAACCGTTTTTGCTCATGAGTCCCCGATTATTTTGACCTCGATCACTCCTTATTTCATTTCTCACGGGGTTCCGCCCGGACCTATTACCTCTTCAGTCTCCATTGTATGGTTGATACCGATCCCTATTCAATCTTGGTTCACGATCGATGTCTCCCTTGGATCTGTCGATAGCTCTGACGGGATAAACGGACCCCGAAGGGGCCCCAAGCTGATCATCTTCGGCCCTAATTTTTGATTGATACCGATTATGTACGTCGGCCCAAGTTACGACCGGATATTCTATTAGATATTCTTCAACTACTATGAAGCCAACGAGCTTCGAGTATTGAGTCCCTAGGTGAAGGCCTGAATGGCCCAATCATCCGCGACCGGAGGCAAGTCCATTCGTTCCTTTTGAAATCGGGACACGAATTTCCTTAGCATCTCATTATCTCTCTGTTTCACTTTGAAAAGGTCTGACTTTCTGGTTTCGACCTTGATGGCCCCGGTGTGTGCTTTCATGAAGGAGTCTGCAAGCATAGAAAACGAGTCAATAGAATTATGGGGGTAAGTTATGATACCATATCATAGCTCCCTTTGACAAAGTTTCCCCGAACTTTTTCAACAGGACAGACTCGATCTCATCATCCTCCAATTCGTTTTCTTTGATGGCGCACGTGCAGGAGGTCACATGCTTATTTGGGTCGGTTGTTCCGTTGTACTTATGAATTTCGAGCATGCGGAACTTCTTTGGGATTAGCTTCGGAGCTGTGCTCGGAGGAAAAGGTGTCTGAACAAACTTCTTGGAATCAAGGCCCTTCAATATCATTGGCGCTCCTGGGATCTGGCCGACCCTGAAATTGTATGTTTTCACTTTTTTGTCACTGGCTTCAATTTTATTTTCTACCGAATCTACCTGTTTTGTCAGTTCCTCGAGCATTTTTATGATTTCGGGATTAGTCCCGGGTTCAGCTTCACTCGGCCTCTCCATAATTGGTTCGTTTCTGCGAGTGATTTTCAGGGACGGCTCGGGCTCAATTCTGCTCGGAGCACGACTTTGGTTTTGCAGCTGGCCTATCACTGCATGTTGAGCCTGTAGCATTCCGAAGATCACTCGCAAGTTGATCACATCTCCTCCAACATCGTGTGTAATTTGTGCTGTCGATCGGACTCCACCGCGGACGCTGTTCTCAGGATCGGTAGGCAGATTCACATTGATGGCCACATGTGAGTTAGCGTCGATCAGGTCCGCGACCAGAATTCCGATGGGATCGACAGGTGGCACCTCATCACTAGGTACCATATTATTGTTCTCGCTGTGGTGACCAGACTCAGCGTCCACATTTAGAGGTGCAGATTGGGAGTTCGACATTTTGAACTTTGACCTGAAATTAAAGACACTTCAAAGAATTAGTGTAAAATGGGGTGCGTTATAGAAATTTATATCAAATTGCCAATATTATCCTTAGCCCCACAGTGGGTGCCAAACTGTTTATCCTCAAAATTGGATAACAATTAAATTTGTAAGTGGTTTTAAGGATACGCGGATTAATTTGATACAAAATGATAAATTGAGTTAGATTGAGCAAATAAAGATATAGTAAATTCAAACCACGTAAGGAGGATGATTCCAGCCTTAGTGAAATATTCTCTCTCGATCTGGGCTCACAATGGCCAGTATTGATGAACAAGAAAAAAAGCTATGAATAACAGTGAAAATAATAGTGTATCGCTTTGTGATACGTGTTACAATGTCCTTAATGAATAGTCAGGCCCCCTTTATATAGCAGGAGAATCTTGCTCTAGGTATAATTTTGTAAAAGGTAAAAAATCTTATGTTTAACTGATTGCCGGTTCTCCATCGATACATGACGAGATCCATGCCGTGATATCTGGCCGGTCGTGGATATTACGACCTTCTGTTGGTCGTGTTTGGTTGCTTGACAATGCTTTCCGAAGTCTTTTGGGATGTGGACCGATCCCAGATTACGACCCCGATATTCTCGAGGGCAGGCGTCATGCCCCCAGATTCTAATTCGGTGAGACCCTTGCCTCGATTCCGATGCCTCGTCATCATGTCTCGAGCTTTGTTTACCCTATCGGAAGTCGGGGTGCACCATGAACCCAGTTTTACCCGTATACACATTTGAGAACCACAAAGTAATGCACTATACGTTTTAGCTTATATAGCACTATTATTAATCAGAGTCAAACATTTCTCTCTTTGATCACAACTTTTTATCTGCTACAGTATCAATTATATAATGTTTCCAAACACCTCGTATCCTTTTGAACGGAGGAAGTAGTATTTATTTTTTGATTTTAATAAAACAAAAGAAATAAATTGCAAAATCCTAAAAAATGACATGGACGGTGAATAGTTGATGTTGGCGAGCATAACGGGTCACGTTTCTTGAGCTCATCAGCCTGTTTTCTTGGCCACCACGAAAACCCAAGCCTCAATATTTTGTTGCGCTCTCTCTTTCTCTCACTTCCAGATTCTCAATACCACTTCGATACACTAATATTCTCTCTCTCTAGAATTGAATTTTCACTTTGCAGTGAAAGAAGATGAGCAAAGGACCTGGACTATTCTCTGATATTGGCAAAAAGGCCAAAGGTAATTTTTTTTTTCCTTTCATTTTTCTTAGCTATGTTTGTACTAAAATAAACGAAGTTGGTGAATAATGAAGTCAAATGTTGTGTTGTTTTAATTGATAGATCTACTGACGAAGGACTATATCTCCGATCAAAAGTTGTCTATTTCCACCTACACTGACACAGGAGTGGTATGACTTCTCGTTCAGTTTTGAACTCTATTTGTTTTTTATTTTCTTCCTATTTGCATTTTTGAATTCAAGCATTTCTTTTGGTTTCCATGTCCTTTTGGAGTTTTATTCGCTTTTATTGAGTCGAGTGCTTTTTTAATGCTTTGATTTGCCATTGGAGCATATTTTTCCAGATTCAAGGCTTTTGCCCTTGTTTCTTTTCTATTTTTTTAGTAGCGAATTTCTGTTTCAGATGTAAGATATTAGTCTCTTAATCTCTGATTTTGTTTGTGAATTAATTGAGCTCTGATGAGAAAACAGTTGTACATATTATTATACATTAATTTAATGTCAGAGCTTGGTTTACATCAGCATCTATGTTGTTCGGCTCATTGTGTTATTTCCCCGCTTTTGGTACTGATATTACCAAAAGAAGTCAGTATGCCATGTCATAATTGGTTTAAGTGCAAAGCGTTGTATATTCTGCACTTAAACTCAATAAAGGAAAACATATAATCAGGAAATGCTGTTTAGCAAGGTTAGCAAAATCAATCTCCTTCACCAGGAAACCAGAGGCGGATCCAGGTTCGAGTTCGGGATTCTACCATAGTGCATTTCATTTACTGGGTTCAGAATGTACTATTTGTACTTATTTAGGGCTCGAAGAGTACTGGGTTCATCCGAACCCATAATTAATGAGCTAGATTCTCTCCTTCATGAAACTGGCCTAGGAGAGACGTGTTGTCAAACTGAAATGAATTCTAGTTTCCTGTTCTGGTGAGGATACCACTGATTCTATCAAAGAGGAGCGGTTCTCCATATGATTAGAGACAGATTGATTAGATATATACTATACCTTTGAATCTGAATCATATCTAAGCTTCGATTGTTCTCTTTGATTCACCTCGAGAAATGATCGCACTTCACCTCAATGTCAGGTCTCAATATTTGTATTCATGTGTTGGATTTAGCTTTGACGTTACACAGGATGCTTTTCTCATCACTTTTGTTGAATCAAGCAGCTAATACCGACTGTACACTTAAATAAAAGCGGAGAGTTAGGCCATTGTCTATGCCATTTGTTGGAACAATAAACTTGGCAACGATTTTCAACTTTTCATTCACTAAACTTCACATGACAGAAGCATTAACAAGTTAAAACTTGTTAACTCCAAAACTGAAACAAAGAGCTCTAAAGCTTTGATGTATTTTGCTCAATGTTTTGGTCTTCCTTGTTTGAAGAGACACAGAATATTTTGAATCTTCTCTTCATTCTTTATTTGCTATATCTATTCTGGGTGGGTACATAGTGTTAAGATTGCTCTTGCCTGTCCTAGCAAAATCACTCTCCATCACCTGGAAGCTGATCTTGGGTGAGACGGTTCTGTCAAAATGAATTGAATTCTACTTTCTTGTTTTTCAAAGACACCACTAATTCCATCAAAGTGGAGTGACTTCAATTTGACTACAGACAGATTATTAGATTCATGCTGTATCTTTTGAATCTGAATCTTATCTAAGTTCTTCATCTTCATTGCTTATCTGTAGTATGTACTATCTTTGCTGGGTGCATCTGCGTTAATGATTGAAGTTAAACTCATTCCTCTGTGTTTCTAAGAGGAACTGACATTTTGTGGGAATGTGTTAAAGTCATCCAATTTTACTTATGTACACGGAGAAATTGTGGATTTGTATAAAATCTTTTTTTGATCAGTAAGTAAGTATACATTTATATAAGACTTTTCTTGATATTCGAGAAATCCCAGTTTTTTCTTTATAACTGGGAAATCCCCTGTTGGTTAGCTGGCCCAATCCCAGGTTGTCTTTAGGTTCAAAACTCAGGGGAATATGGACCTGACCTCAATCCTTCTCCCACTTAAATACGATGCTTGGGTTAGCGACAAGGTTTGGAGTCCTGCCGTGCGCGCGCCCTACGACATTTCTACAAGATCTTATAATCATTTTCGTGCAGTTTCTTGCAAAACATGATCTTGAAATATTGGGCAAATGCCTGTTTTTAAAATACCGCAAGAAACATATGGAAGAAGCTTCTCCATTAAAGACATGATAATTCTTGAAAGTGCAAATGCCTCAAGTTTTTTGTCCTTTGAGTGATGCCTCATGTTTGATTGACCTGTTATGTTAATTTCCATAACATTGGTTTTTTTTTACTTTGTTATGCCTTATATAGTTTCAGCTCTTTTTTTAATGTCCAAAAGCTTTCTTCTAATTAAGTTCTTATATCACTAGATCTATGGCAACCGAATTTCATCTCTAATAGAAATTTCTTAATGTAGGCCCTTACATCAACTGCAGTGAAGAAAGGAGGGCTCTCAACTGGAGATGTAGCAGCTCAGTACAAATATAAAAACACTTTGATTGATGTCAAAGTTGATACAGGATCAAACGTGGGTTGCGCACACCTTGGTCTTTCTTAATCATGTTTGTTTTTGTTGGATATCCTTCACATTTCTATCTCCCTGCAGATCCTGACAACTCTTACTTTAACTGACATTGTCCCATCAACAAAAACCATTGCCTCTATGAAATTCCCTGACTACAGTACTGGCAAGGTAAGATCTTCTCATCTGTTTTTGGCTCATGGCTTTGTTCCATTACTGAAAAGTGAAAATGATAGAGTTTCCTCCTCTAAACTTGCTTTTTGCTTTCTTTTGCAGCTAGAGGCACAGTACTTTCACCACCATGCAACCGTCACCACAGCTGTTGCTCTGAAACAATCCCCTGCAGTTGATCTTTCAATCACACTTGGGACTCCAACTTTTGCTCTTGGTGCAGAGGCGGCTTATGAGACTGCAACTGGTAAACTGACAAAGTATACTGCTGGCATTAGCGTGACAAAACCAGATTCCTGTGCTGCTATAATCTTGTAAGTTTCAATGTTAAGGTCTCTAACTTCTGCAATTAGGAAGCAGAAATGATAAAAAGATTAAAGTTTTTGATACTTGCTGTTCTTTTCTCGCCTCAGAGGGGACAAAGGGGACACAATTAAGGCATCATATATACATCATCTCGATGCATTGAAGAGGAGTGCTGCTGTGGGTGAAATCACTAGAAGGTTCTCTACAAATGAGAACACATTTACAGTTGGAGGATCCTATGCTGTTGATAACCTGACAATTTTGAAACTCAAACTCAATAATCATGGAAATTTGGGGGCTCTCTTGCAGCATGAGGTGATTCCAAAGTCATTATTGACCATTTCTAGTGAGTTTGACACCAAGGCCCTGGATAAGACTCCCAGGTTTGGGGTGGCCCTAGCTCTTAAGCCTTGATAGCATTTTCGTAGCCGGCATCCTTGAACTCACACTGAGGAATTTTTTGGAGTATCACAGTGAAGGAGGCACTCAATAAGTAGTTCAAACACATTTTTTTCCCAGAATGGATCAATTGCGGATGGTGGTTTCCAAAGTTGGACCAGCCTGTGGCATTTCACTGTTTTCTATTGTCTTTCTCCTATTTTCCCCTGTTTTGAGAAAGTCTACAAAAGCAATTTTTCATGGCAAATCTAGAACTTGGTAGTTTTTAACTTTAAACCTGTGTAAGAGTTTTCTTTCTCTTTTATCCGGGCGATGCAATAGTTATCTAATTGCAGCAATTGCTTTAATTAACCCCCTTGGTTATCTGAAAATATGTGTGCTTCGTTTTGCATTGGACTTTCAGGCAGTTTTGCTATAATTTTTCCATGACTGACGAGTATGACCAATTTGATTTTGCCTGCTGAGAATGCACAACTGCATGGTTTAAACCAAATCTAGTGGAAATTGAAGTACATGCAAAATTGAGTTACGTTTTGTTAAAGATTGAAAAAAGGTTAAGCTACTTTTCTGGTAATTTGTTCATCGGGTCTTTTAGATTTCTAGTGACTAAACATAACACAAATGACATTGCTTTCAAACTCGTAGTGTATCTAACCATATTCCTAGTACTGCCTTTTAACGTTTTCTTTCTTCCTTTTTTCCATCTCCATGAACCTGTCATCTATATTTGGGATAGCTGGTCGCAGGAGATGATTAGGAGCCATTTGTGTACTGTCTCTAATCAGACAACAGTCGTAGTGTCAAATCAAGATTACCAACAAAAACTAAGAGAACACTGATTAGTTAAAATCTTATGGTTCGGAAAGAGAGACACCATCGCTCAGTTCCTAATAATAAGATTATATGTTATAGAACAAGCCGAATTGGATAATAAGCAACAAGAACAATTGTGCACGTGACAATGGACTTAAAAGGCTGAATATTTTTGTAATCTCTTAAGTGAAAAGCATTGTGAAATTGGTAATCTTTGACAGATCATGCTCGTGCGCGCTTATCCAAACAGACAGATTTAGTGGTCTTTTAAGTCGTTCAATAGCAATCTTACTTCAAAATAGTTTAGTGACACAAACCAGTAAAAAATCATTTGGCAGCATATACATTCACACAATTAAACCTTTCCCGAGGTAGATGTATGTTACTTAAAAGCAACCTTGTACCAGAAGCAACGAACCACCTCCAAGTTAAGTGGCAAAAATTTATTCTGATACAGCTCCGGGCTGGAAAACAGGCAACTAATTTGAGAATTGCAAGCTCCACTTTCTATGAAAAACTAATTTAACTTGAGCAAACAACATAGGACAGCACCTTAAATGGTATGCATGCCAAGTAAAATGAGATGGCATCTATCTAAGGTTTTCCATATTCAGACTAGCTCTGGCGACTTTATGTCATATTAGCAACATCTCTCGTGGAAAACAAAGCAGCTCATCACTCGAGAGTGGAACAGCACTTCTTCCTCTAATAGGAAGCAACTGCAGCAGTATTGCGTCAACTATGCCTACTGGTTTTGGAACCAGACCTAGAGAGACTGAGAGACCTTAAAGCAGCCTAGACTCACTTTTCCAGTTTACAAGTTCATTGGGCGAAAGGCTAAGCTGTCATCGATCAAATTAAAGGCTAACTATTGTCAATCGCGACTAATCATTTTGTATCAGAAAAGATATCTAACTTCCAAAGCAACCTAAACCAACTCTTCAAATTTCAGGTCCATTGGAACAAATACTGCTCTGTTATGGTCAGTCAAACTAAGTGCCGAATGGACCCAGAAGATAATGAGATCATGAAATATTGCTATTTCAAATATAGGATGTAAAAACATAAAGGTAAGGAAAAGGAAGAATGGTCCTCCTACTTACACCTCTTTTCTATTTGTGTTCCTCGCCAGTCGCCTCCTTTCAAGTCAATGATACATTCATCAACCCTCTCTTCCTAAGTGTTATTCTACTTCCTGACAAAAACAGAACATTCCTGTAAAACCGAGATACAAATTCTAGCAGCAAAGCCTCAAACTAGTTAGGGTCGACTCTATGAATCCTCTGTATCTATTCCCTCTATTTTGGTGATCCTCCTAATAGATAAGACGTAAAACTTAAAAACAATAGACACCACAGTGTAAATTAACATCTACTACGCTGTGGGAACTGGAAGTGAACAAGAAAGAAGTTCACAATGATTAATCAATTTGGCTCAACATACAGTTCCTCAACAGAGGACACAGGCCGAGGATAACTCTGATAAGTACATACCAAGAATACTACATATGAGACAAATCATAGCGGATATCAAATCCACCAATTTAGGCTTATGAATCGTTTGCATTCTTAGTTACGTCCAGACTACATATCTAGACCCTCAGAGTAAACAATGAACACACCATTGCAAACACCTCAACTATTTCATAGGTACCAAGTAATTCTGCCCAACAAGTTTTTAGGCAGACGGGACAAAATCACCACCTAGGAATTTGAACCTGAAACTTCATGCTAAACACAACGTTCCTAACAACCTTCAGCAGTGAACTTTCCACGTAGATATTCAAAGCACAAACTGGTCGAGCAATCATTCTAACACACAAAACAAAGTGAACAAACACACAAGTAAGAAGTTTAATGAAAGATATTAATCAACCCAAGATTACCAACTTTCACCAGAATGCAATTACGACAAAACCAAAAATGCTCAACAGAATTAAAGATCCCAAAAATCCTAATAGCCAAAACGTACTAAATTAGTAATATAACCTTTCGTTCAGCTGCCCAACAGAATTCTATAACAGAAACAAACAGGTGCAAAATTTAATCAACGGTCTGCATAATATCCTCAGTAGTGAACTTAGTACCCTTGTCTTTATCAGCAGCAGCACGTCCCTTAGCCTTACGATCAATCAAAGATTTACGGTCCTTATCAAGCCTGAGCTTAGTAATAACAGTCTTAGATGGGTGAATACCAACATTAACAGTGGAACCATTAACTTTCTCGCGTGTTATACGCTCAATGTGAATCACCCATTTCTTGCGATAAACTTGGACAACTTTACCCTCACGCCCCTTGTATGTTCCTCGTACGACTTGAACCTCGTCGTCTTTTCTTACCGGCATAGATCTTACGTTGTACTTTGAACGTAAATCCGATGAAAGGGGTGCGCTCATTAACACTCGGCGGACGCTTGATGGGGCCGTGAAATGGGCCTTTCGGCTTTTCCGGCGAGAGGAGGATACTCTTGGATTGTACTTCATTTTTGCGAAGCTGGTTCACGCACTCACTCTGCAAATGCGGCTGATGAAGAAGATCTGATTTTAGGATTTTTGTTTTTTGGGGGTTTATATTGTAAGAGGCAAATTTATTGGGCCTTTATTTTGATGACTTACCTGTTTGGCCAAGTTTATTTTTGGGTCAAAAATATAATTTCTTTTTTAGCCAAAAATACTTTAGGCAAAAAATTGAGGTGTTTGGCCAAGTTTTTGGAAAGAAAAAAGTGTTTTTGAGGAAAAACAAAAGCAGTTTTTGAAAAGCAGAAAAAAAGAACTTCTCTCCAAAAGCACTTTTTTGAGAAGCACTTTTGAAAAAAATATACTTAGAAGCAGTTTTCAAAAGTTTGGCCAAACAAGACCAAAAAATTTCCGCTGTCACTGTAGCTGTGAACAGTGCCAAACAGTACCGTGAACAGTGACTTCGTCACTGTTCATCGCGGACAAGCTGGAGCTTTAGGCTTCAATGGCCACAATGGCCAGCGACCAGCTGGATTTTCCGGCTGATCTGCCCTCCCCCAGCATTGCACAACAACATAAAACAACTAACGCCAACCCAGCCCCTCTAGATTACTCTAAGATTTTGAAACCAAATTCTTTAAATCCTTCAGCGATGGCTATTGCTGCAGCTTCAATTCAACCCATTCCACTGCGACGAGCAGTATATTTGAATGGCCAACCAGTGGTTAAATTCACAGAGGCAGAAGTAGATAGAATGAACGTGATTGAAGGCCTCCAATATGCTGTCGTTGGCAAGCTTTCATATGGTTCTCCGGAGATTCACGAGCTACGCCGAATAATCCCAACTCAGTGTGGTATCAAAGGTGAGTGTAATATCGGATTCCTTAGAGATCGTCATGTGTTAATTAGATTAACTCTATGGCAAGATTTCCTCGATTTCACATCAAAGAGTACGTACTACATCAAAGCCAAAGATGGGTACGAATACCAATTGCGTACTCTTATCTACGATGCAAAATTTAAGGCAGGTGAAGAAACTCTGATGGCAATGGCGTGGATTTCTTTTCCTAGACTACTGCCTACCTTTTTTGTAAAGGAAACTCTGTTTTCTTTGGCTACAGCTGTGGGAAGGCCAGTGTGTCTTGACGCGGCAACTACAAACAAAACTAGGCCGAGTTGCGCAAGAGTAAAAGTTCTTGTCGATTTGTTGGCCGAACTACCTAAAAAGGTGCGATTGGATATTGATGATGAAGCTTCTGGTGGTGTTCGAACAGAATGGGTGAGAATTCAGTATGACATGCTACCAAAATATTGTAAGGAGTGTAAACTACAAGGACATGATGAAATTGAATATTGGCATTTGCACCCCGAGCTTATTGAGAATCGAAGCAGCAAGAAAAGGAATGATCTTACTGAGTTGAACAACTGGAATTCTGCTGCTGATGAACAAGGAAAAACCAAAAATCACATTACCCCTTTAATGATTCTCACGAGTGGAAAAGTAGTTGGGAACATAGGTGCACAGTGGAAGGAAGTTCGAGATAATCGGGGAACCAACAAAAATAACAAAACCCAGGTATAAGGGCAAACTGGCAATGCAATCATGCCAGTGAATGCTGGTGTACAGCAGGTGCACAATAACTTTGCACTGATGGAAGTCTAAGAAGATCAGACAAACAAGGTTCAAACAAGGAATAAATTTGCATTATTAGGGGAGTAACAAAGTGATATAAACGAGAACAACCAACTGGTTTTGGTGGGAGAAAAACCAGTCTTCAGTTCTAAAGATGGTCCTACTCCTTTTGGGATTCAGTCCATAATCGACTAGGTTCATAAAAGGTTTAGGACTAGCAAAGAGGAGCTAAAACAACTCAATGTGACCACAAACCAATCTGGTCATGCGATTCCATCTCAAACTTTTAAAGATTCTGGGCAGATGGAGGATCTTGATGAGATAAACTCTACAAAGGTCTTATGGAGCGATGCAGTTAAGGTTAAGAATGATCAGCTGGGCAAAACAAAGACAATATAAGACAAGGTGAAGAAGGACAATAATACAAGCTCACCTGGCGATAGGCTGGC